AAAAAGAAAGAAAGAAAAAATTTGTTAGGATGTCTTCATCACTGTCTAGGGCAAAGTGTACTGTATCCTCCTGACAGTGAGTTTCTAAGAAGGTACAAATCATACTATATCCATCTTTTTATCATTAGTTCCCAGGACACTTCCCACCATATCTGTGTTCAGTCATGTTAATCATGTTTCTTGCATGAGCATCACCTCACCTCAACTGGATGCTCATGCAAGAAACATTTACAAGGGTATAATCGTGGAGCTGGGAAAGATGGCCTATCAGGCCAGAATAGCATCTCATACGGAGGCCCTTACACATTCATTCCCGGTTTGCACTCACTGGAAAGCCTTCTTTGCTGCATTGTGGTTGAGTCCCGGGGGTCACTCCAGTTACTATTCATGCTGTGGGTGAATCCATTTCATTCTCATTTGTCAGCCTCTAGTGAGACTCAGCAATGGGAATCAACACCCCCTGGGCCTAGGTGAACCTGCTGAGATGAGGTCCAGGGAACAGCCCCTTGGGGTGCCCAGAGATGCCCCATAGCAGAGAAGTCTGACGATCCTTCTCCAGTTTCTCATGGCTCTTGGCCAGGGGTGTTTGGAAAATTAATTGCACACCATATTTGCGTGGCTGGGCCCCAGGACTGTGGCTCTCTCACCTCTGTAACCCCCATACAGGTTAGGAAGGAGGGTGCGGTGGGCCCAGGGGTAAAAGTCCTCAAGCAGTTTGATTTCCGAAAAATGGTGGGAAAAGCTCTTCTTGATAGTCTGATGGAGGTAAAATCTATTGGAGTTCTTTGCAGAGTAGACGGTAGTCATCAACAGGATAAGGAAGAGGATTTGTACTGGTGTAGGTGGGAAGAAAAATCATAATTGAGTGGTTAAGCTTAGAGATCCTCTATACATTTTTCATTTTCTTGTAAGCCTAGAGTTTTGCAGGTCAAAAATAGCCAGAAATTGGCAATTTCACATGGTTCAACCTAATAATTATTAACCCTCCTGATCCTATGTCAGACAAAAACACTTATTTTATGAAATCTAAAATAATAAAATCATCAGGTGAGTTCATATTTATGTTTTTCCTTTTAAAAACTATGGTATTGCCTTGGTGCCTATAGCTCAGTGGTTAGGGCGCTGGCCACATACACCAGGGTCAGCAGGTTCGAACCCATCCTAGGCCTGCTAAACAACAACAACAAAAATAGCCAGGCATTGTGGCAGGCACCTATGGTCCCAGCTACTAGGTAATAGAGGCAAGAGAATCGCTCAAGCCCAAGAGTTTAAGGTTGCTGTGAGCTGTGATGCCATTGCACTCTACCGAGGGTGACATAATGAGACTCTGTCTCAAAAACAAAACAAAACAAACAAAAAAGCCCTGTAGGATAGGCCAGATGCACTGGTTCACACCTGTAGTCCCAGCACTCTGGGAGGCCTAGGCAGGTGGATTGCCTGAGTTCATGAGTTCAAGAACAGCCTGAGCAAGAGTGAGATCCCATCTCTCCCCTGTTGTAGCAGGTGCCTGTAGTTCCAGCTACTTGAGAGGCTGAGGCAAGAGAATGCTTGAGCCCAAGAGTCTGAGGTTGCTGTGAGCTATGATGCCATGACACTTTACCACAGGCAACAAAATGAGACTCCATCTCAAAAAACAAACAAACAAAATAACAAAACAACTGTAGGATAACTATTATACAAGTAATCCACAAACATCTTTCCTGGCCACAATAAGTAAGAGCTGAGGAGTAGTATGCAGGTGGCAGAAAAATTGGATTGGAAGTTAATATGCATAACGCCTTCCTATAATTTTTCTGTCACTAAGTTTTATTTAAGATACATAAAATCTGGGCAGCACCTGTGGCTCAGTCGGTAGGTCACCGGTCCCATATACGGAGTGGCAGGTTCAAACCCAGCCCCAGTCAAATTGCAACAAAAAATAGCTGGGTGTTGTGGCAGATGCCTGTAGTCCCAGCTACTCGGGACCTAAGCCCAGGAGTTGGAGGTTGCTGTGAGCTGTAATGTCACATCACTCTACCAAGGGTTTGGTAAAGTGAGACTCTGTCTCTAAAAAAAATAATAATAATATGTAAAAATCCTACACAAAAATATTATATTTAGTTTAGTTTGTGAATGCTCTCTCTTGCTTCCTTTCAACTGTCTGTGTTCACAGAAGTGAAGGCCTCATATGGAGACTCTTTGGTCTAGGGAGTCCAACACGTACTAGCCATGCTGAAGCCAGTCACCTGGCACCTACGGAACAGCCATTGTCCAAAGCATTTTCATTTTCCCTCCAACCTGTAAAGTATGTAGATCAAATATTGTTATTGCATTCTGTAGGTGGAGAAAGTGGCTTAACACAAGTACACAACAAAATTGCCAGACTCCAAGTTCAGCAGTCTATCCACTTACCATACCATCTTGTTTACTGGAATCTCAATTTTCACAAGATGAAGATACCTTACTGTTTGAGACAAAGTCTCACTTTGTCACCCTTGGTAGAGTACTATGGTGTGACAGCTCACAGCAATCGCAAACTCTTGGGCTCAAGCCATCCTCTTGCCTCAGTCGTCTGAGTAGCTGGGACTACAGGCACCCACCACTATGCCTGGCTAGTTTTTTTGATTTTTAGTAGAGACAGGGTATCACTCTTGGTTCAGCCTCCCAGAATGCTAGGATTACAGGTATGAGTCACTGTGCCTGGCCCCACAAGGTGAAAACATTAAAAGATACCTTTTCACCCTCTATATTTTCCATTTATTCTCTCTCCCTTTCCTGCTTTTCCCTCTCCATACCCAGAATATCTCCAGTCATCTTGAAGAGTTTCTTCTTTTTCAAGGTTTTTTCTAGGCACTTAGTTGGACTCCTCACAGCTGGGGCTAGGTAGATGGGGTTGTTCCTATCTTTCAAACCAGGTACTGGTGAAGAACACTTTGCTGTCAATAATTCAAATGTAGAAAAAAGAAATGTTATATTTCATTAAGTATGTACTCACCAACATTTCCTGAGCACCCCCGTCACATGTTGAAGAAATAAGAAATAGGCCCGTAGCTCAGCCGTTAGGGCACCTACCACATACACCAAGGCAGGCGGGTTCAAACCTAGCCCAGGGCTGCTAAACAACAATGACAACTGCAATAAAAAAATAGCCAGGCATTGTGGTGGGCACCTGTAGTTCGAGCTACTTGGCAGGCTGAGGCAAGAGAATCGCTTAAGTCCAAGAGTTAGAGGTTGCTGTGAGGTGTGATGCCATGGTACTCTACTATGGGTGATACAGTGAGACTGTCTTGAAAATAAAAAAAAAGAAATAAGGAGTAAAGCCACCTATGCAGTGCTTCTCAATATTTATGGTGAAGGAGGTGTTTTCAGAAAGATTCCAGTCCACTAGGGATTGGTACTTTTTTTTTTTTTTTAAGAAGGAGTCTCACTGTGTTACCCTCAGTAGAGTGCTGTGGTGTCACAGCTCATAGCAACCTCAAACTCAGGCTTAAGTGATTCTCTTGCCTCAGTCTCCCAAGTAGCTGGGACTACAGGTACCCACCACAACGCCCAGCCATTTTTTTGTCGTTGTTGCAGTTGTCATTGTTGTTTAGCTGGCCCCAGGCTGGGTTTGAACCCGCCATCCTCAGTGCATGTGGCTGGCGCCTTAACCACTGTGCTATGGGCACCGAGCCAGGATCGATACTTTTTGTACAATGAAAATGAGTTGCTAGAAAAATAAAATAAAACAGAAGCATATAAAACATAAGCCCTATTTTGAAAACTAGATTCAATAGGCGTAAAATTAGCCTGCCAAATTGCTTTAAATTTCTAAATGCTTATTCTCCATTCCTGTACTTATCTTGGACTAGAAACGAACCCTGCTAGTCAGTGTTAGCAGCACTTAGGGAGCCCTGTTCTATACAGCAGTGTTCCTCAGGCTTTCCTGTGCATAGGAACTGCCTGGGAAGCCTGTTCAAACGCAGATTCTCAGGTGAGGCCTGATTAAGAGTCTGCATTTCTGACCCTGCTGGGAGATGACAATGCTGCTGATCTGCAGACAACACTGTGAGTAGAAGAATCTAGAGACACAGACATCGAAAGCGGGAGAGGGAGAGGGAATTAGAGTATGACACAGAACACGCGAGCAGTGTGTGCCAGGTACCATGGGATCGCTGAAGAATGAACAAATAAATCTCCCCAAGGAAGCCAGAGATGCCGTCACAGAGGAAATGGCATTTGACATTTGTTTTGGAGGATGGGACAGAATTCTCCAGAAAGACAAAGGTGAGGATAAGAAAAAAAGTCACTGTGGGCAGAGAGCACAATGGTTCAAAATGCATGGAGAAATGACCTGAGGGCAAGAAAGGTGGTTTAAAGTTAGATTATTGCTGGGCGAGGGGGCTCATGCTTGTCGTAGCATTCTGGGCGGCTAATGTGGGTGCATGGCCTGAGCTCATGAGTTCAATACCAGCTTGAGCGAGAGCAAGACCCCCATCTCTACTAAAAACAGAAAAACTAACCAGGAGTTGTGGCAGGCGCCTGCAGTCCCAGCTATTTGGTAAGCTGAGACATAAGGACCTCTTGAGTCCAAGACTTTGAGGTTGCTGTGAGCTGTGACTCCATGGCAGTCTAGCCTGGGTGACAGAGTGACTGTCTCAAAAAAAAAAAAAAATTAGATTATTAATTTCTTTAACCTCACAAGGAATGGAGTACCTACTGCTTAGTAGTATATCACTGCTCAGCTGAAGAAAGAAGTACTGGCCCACACAGAGCCTGCTGTGTGCCCTGGGGCCTGGTATCCCTTCTTTTCCTCAGAGAGGTAAGACTTTCCTGAATTTTAGTGTTTATCATTGCCATGCTTGTCTGTTTTTTATCTATTAATTTAAAAAAAAAAAAAAAGATACCGGTGGTGCCTGTGGCTCAAAGGAGTAGGGCGCTGGCCCCATATGCCGGAGGTGGCGGGTTCAAACCCAGCCCTGGCCAAAAAAAAAAAAAAAAAAAAAGATACCTATATCTCCTCTAGTCAACACGTTCATTGTTTTTACATGATTAAAATTGTGCTCATTTTTCTGCAACTTGCTTTTTTGCCCAATGTTGAGTTTGCGAGTTGCATCCAGGTGATTTAAGTGGGTCTTATTTAGAGGGTAGATATTTCCAGGGTTGGTGACTAAATGCAAAATAAGGGAGGAATTTAGGACTAGGTACACTGACATTTTTAGAGAATGGCAATGCTCTTGATTGAAATGAGAAAATATAGTGAAGAAGTGGATTTGTGGGAAAGGTTAACAATTTGGTTTAATTTGAGACATTCAGATACAGATGACAAGCAGTTGAAAACAGCATCTGAGGCTCAGGAGAGGAAGAGAGAGGATTTCTAGACCACAGGGGAAGGGCCAGGTATGGTGGCTCAGACCTATAATCTTAGCACTCTGGGAGGTTGAAGCAGGTGGATTGTATGAGTTCAGGAGTTTAAGACCAGCCTGAGCAAGAGTGAGGCTCCCAACTCTACTAAACATAGAAAAAGTCGCCAGGTGAGGCACAAGCCCGTAGTCCCAGTTACTTGGGGAGGCTGAGGCAAGAGGATCGCTTGAGCCCAAAAGTTTGAGATCGCTGTGAGCTATGATGCCCCAGCACCCTACTTACAGCAATAGTGAGATTCTGTCTCAAAAAAAAAAAAAAAAGAACTCTGAGGGAGCCGAAGCACTGAGAGAAGGTGTGAGGATCTAGATCTAGGGAGGCATGCGTTAAGTTTTAAGTTTTGGTGACACATCTCCGATCAGTCTTAGGCAGAAGAGCAACCAGTTGATTAAAGACAAGATCTTTGAAGGGATGAATCCATCTGAGTCAGTAAGGTGACCAGAATTCTATGAATACGATATAATTTGATCTTTGCAAAATTAGACAGCAGTTAGAACTACTTGAATTACCCGAAAGTGCCAAGGCCCTCCGCGTCTGTTGTTCCTTCTCCCCGTTAAGCCATGGCATCCTGCTCGTCACCAGTGAGAGGAAGACTGTGAGGAACACCACCTAGACAGTAAAACCACAGGGGGCCTTACTGAGCAGGTAGTGCAGGTCTGAGCTTACGATGTCACGTGCAAAGGCAAAGCTGGGTAATTAATAAATTTCAATTACTTGGCCTTTTCTTTTATGGACAAGTAACTAATTTCATACTCATTTTCTTTATAATGATGGGGACCTAGAAAGGCCCCTAAGAGTCTAAAACCAATTTTTCTTTCTTTTTTTTTTTTTGAGACTGAGCCTCAAGCTGTCCCCCTGGGCAGAGTGCCATGGCATCACAGCTCACAGCAACCTCCAACTCCTGGGCTCAAGCGAGTCTCCTGCCTCCGCCTCCCAAGTAGCTGGGACTACAGGTGCCTGCCACAACGCCTGGCTATTTTTTGGTTGCAGCCGACATTGTTGTTTTGGCAGGCCCAGGCTGGATTTGAACCCGCCATCTTAGGTGTATGTGGCTGGCGCCTTAGCCACTTGAGCCAGAGGCGCTGAGCCTAATTTTTCTTTCTTGAGTCAGAGTCTCATCACCTAGGTAGAGTGCCATGGCATCAGCTCAGCAACATCAAATTCCTGGGTTTAAACAATCCTCCTACCCAACCTCCGAAGTAGCTGAGGCTACAGGCACCCACAATGCCTGGCCAATTTTTTTCTATTTTTAGTAGAGACAGGGTCTCACTCTTGCTCAGGCTGGTCTTGAACTCTTGAGCTCAAGGGAGCCACCTGCCTTGGCCTCCCAGACCAGAGCGCTAGGATTACAGCTGCAAACCACCAACGCTTGGCGGTCTCACACATATCCTTAACAAAGGTCACTCTGCCTAGTTCTGTTTCTTGAGGTTTTCTGGGTTTTTTTTGGTTGTTGTAAAATTGTCAAAAACCATCAACATCCAAGTCTCCCAAACTTTCTCAGACCATAATGGTTTTGTTCCATTTCACACATACCTTCACTGGCTGGCTGATGAAGACGTTTTGAAGTACTGATAAAATAATCGAAGTAACCCAGCTGGTGGCTTGGTCTTTGTCCAATTCCAAGCTATAAAGTGCTGTAAAAAAGGCTGAAGCCAGGCTAGTGACTGCGAGGAGGAGCCAGCAGATGTGAGTCAAGCATCTGGGTAGGCCATTAATGGTGGGGTTCTTCTTTTCTTCTGGGCTCAGGATGGGGAAACTGGTCACCTCCCTGAAGCACAAAAGTTGGAGGAAGAATTTTTTTTTGTGACAACAGAGTCTCACTTTATCACCCTTGGTAGGTAGAGTGCGGTAGCGTTACACAGCTCACAGCAACCTCCAACTCCTGGGCTTAGGCGGTTCTCTTGCCTCAGCCTCCTGAGTAGCTCGGACTACAGGAGCCCACCACAATGCCTGGCTATTGCTTTGTTGCAGTTTGGCGGGGGCCAGGTTTGAACCCACTACCCTTGGTATATGGGGCCAGTGCCCTACCCACTGAGCCACAGGCCTCAGGAAGGAGGAAGAATCTTGTACCCAACAGCTGAGAGAGGGGACTTATTACCTGGATGGCTCTTGCTCCAGGGGAAGAATGTGTGTTTCCAAGAGTTTCTGGAGTTTCTGAAATTGGCTGGCCGCATCCAGGAAGTCAAAGGGCTGGTGAGTCTGGGTGAGATCTACTGTGCCTAAGTGAGATTCTAGCTTCTGCAAAACTCTGAGCAGGTAACGGCAGAAGTGACGGTGGTTTTCTGGAACCACTGAAAATATATTTCAAGTTGACACTTTCACAAGTGGAAGATTTCAGTAAGTAGCAATTAGTGGTAGAGATGAGCAATTCATTAATCCATGACATGCTGACATTTTCCCTGTACTAATGGAGAGTGGGGGCAACACCAATGGCATTCCTGTCTCCTGAGGATGCTGGTAAATTCTTAACAATTGTAAAATTCTCGGCTTGGGCCTGTACCTCAGTGGTTAGGGTGCCAGCCACGTGGCGGGTTCAAATCCAGCCCAGGCCTGCCAAACAACGACAACTACAACCAAAAAATAGCTGGGCGTTGTGGCATGCGACTGTAGTCCCAGCTACTTGGGAGACTGAGGCAAGAGAAAGGCTTAAGCCCAAGAGTTTGAGGTTGCTGTGAGCTGTGACCCCACAGCACTCTACCCAGGGTGACAGCTTGAGACTCTGTCTCAAAACAAACAAAAAAAACCCTGTAAAATTATGAACTTCAATTTAAAGACTCTTAAAGCCTCATTGAGCTATTTCTCTAAAACTGCAATACACGCAACTTATACCGGTAGGTGCCCAGAAGACTCAAACTGTACTTCAATTTGATAAACTGCATAATCTTGCCATTCTGTGGATGAAAAAGGACAAGTTCCAACAGCCTTTAACGAAGCAGCTGGGAACATGTGGTCAGATATAGAGAGGTTTTTTGGTACTTTTTTCTTCTTAATCCTGTACTTTGAATCACCAGATAGACTGTCTAGAAGCCATCGAAGTAATCAGAACTACTAGCTCTTTACTCGAAGTTTAAGGAAATTAAAACAAGCAGAAGGTTGTATCAAGCTGGCTGGTTATGAGTCAGGAAGTAAGGGACATGCAGTGGGGGGGGGGGCAGATGAAAGAGGAGTTACTAAAATCTACTGACCTTTACCATTTGCCCAGTGGGGTCCTCCCTGCTGAGGACAGCCTTGACCCTCTAAATGAGAATAAATGAGGCTGGATAAGAGTGTTACCAGCTTGTTCATGTCACAAGAACTCCATGAAGATTGTTCGTACTCTGAGAGTAGATATGGATTTCTCCTGAGCAGGAATCCCACAGTTTCCTTTAATTCCTGAATATAGAAACACGAGGTGAAAAACCAGTCTGCTGCACATTAACCCAGGACTGGGAGCAATTACAGATAGTAGGACTGTTTCTTATAGTTAGAGAGGGATTTGCTTAGTGCAACAAAACTCAGTTTTTCACTGCGTGGTATTTCACCTTGCAGTAGATTCAAGACTGTGAGAGACTGGCCAGAGGTGGTGGCTCACTCCTGTAATCCTATCACTATGGGAGGCCAAGATGGGCAGATTGCTTGAACTCAGGAGTTCAAGACCAGCCTGAGCAATGATGGGACTCTGTCTCTACTTAAAATAGAAAAAACTAGCTGGGTTTTGTGGCAAGAGCCTGTAGTCCCCAGCTACTGGGGAGGCTGAGGCAAGAGGATCACTTGACCTCAAGAGTTTGAGGTTGCTGTCAGCTATGACACCACAGCACTCTACCCAGGAGAACAGAGTGAGACTCTGTCTTCAAAACAGAGCAAAACAAAACAAACAAAAAACAACAAAAATATGTGAGAGACTACGGAATAAATGAAGGAACAGTTTGAGCAAACATCAAAAACTAAAAACTCCAGAGTAGTACATAATGCATTTCCACTCTTCCTACAATACTTCATAATCAAGAGTAAAATCTAGAGGTATGACTGATCACAACTCAGTGGACTCAGGAATTAGGGGAAAGATAATAAGGCCCCAAGTGGCCCTCCAGGAGATCCTCTCCACTGCTCTTTTCCACTTCATAGGGAAGGGGGGCATATCATTTACCTTACCTTAACTACCTCTTTGAGAGAGAGGGGCTCAATGGAAGCATCCGAGAGGCTGGAGGACTGGAT